CCCGACAAAGTATCGGCAACGACTAATCGTTTTGCGGTATCGCGAACACGTTAAATCCTTTTCTGTATCGACCATCGTTGAGCGAGCTGTCCTTGTCTATCACTACGAATCCGTACTTGCACTGCCAACAATCGCGACACAACGCGCAAAATTCATCGTACGACATGTCGGTATTCACGTGATCGTTGTACACGTGTTTCAGGTTGGTACCATCCTGTTTGAACAGGATCAGCAGGTTCGCGTTATCGCGTATCAGATGTTTAGGTATTCTCGCGTACGTCTGACAGAGATAAAAGCAGTCGACGCTCGAGTGTCGACCCATTGAGAAGTACTCTCTCACCGCATCTTGCTTATCGCATGCCACGTCATCGAACACGAAGATCGAGTTTGGACGCGCCTCGCTCGGCGGAATGACGTCACTGTTGTTGGAGAACGTGAAGTAGCCGATTTCGTCGATCGATGTCAGCAAATTCTCCAGATATCGATATTTCGGCTGTTGCAACGACTTTGAGTACACGTACACGTTTTCGAAACGTACACCGTGCGGATTTTCCAGGAGGCTTATCAGAACGTTGGTTTTACCGCAATTCGAGGGGCCACAAACGATCGCGCGTATAGTAGTAGGTAGCATCGTACCATGCTTGCGCATCTCCGCGTTGTCCCCCATCGATCGTAATCTGTCGTCGCAATTCGTTACGCGTATCGCCAAAGGTTGTCGCACGAATCTCATTTTTCACACCGTCGACTGAGGAATGCTGGATCGAACGCCTATTTATAGGTGCGCGGAACCGCGAATCGCTCAGTAACAAAAATGTTCGTCCTGCTGTCGAGACCTTCCGATATTTGCGATTTGAGCGCCGAACAGTTACAATTTGTGCCGAAAGTCGTTCTGCTGCGAATGTGCGGCGATCACGTCCACTACCTGTGGGACAAGCTTCCGGAACATATAAAGGCGGATTTAGAGGTTCAACAATATCGTCGCTGTTACGAACATTACAATCAACCGTGGCAGCGAACGCACATCGACGGTCCAGCACCGTTGATAAAAGATTGCGGCGAATGTCAACGAAAATAGGTAGAGGCCTATTAAATCGCGCGATAAACGCCCTTCCTTTCGAGTTACATATCCCCGGCTATCAGTTTTGCGGCCCGGGCACGCGGCTACAGAAGCTATTAGCGAGAGGCGATCGGGGTATAAATCCATTGGATGCGGCCTGTCGCGAGCACGATACAGCGTATTCCCGGAACACCGATCTCATCGAGAGACACGCGGCTGACAGGATACTCGCCGAGAAAGCGCGAACTCGCATCGTCGCGAAAGATTCGACTCTCGGTGAGAGAGCCGCAGCCACAGCTGTTTGGGCAGCGATGAAAGCCAAGACAAAGATCGGCATGGGTATGAAGACGAAGACGAAGATGAGGACTACGCGGAAAAGGCCAACGAAAAAACGGATACTTCCGACAGCGAAACGAGGCGGTGTATTGCCGATTCTACCGATGTTCGGCGCGCTCGGATCCTTGATCGGTGGTGCGGCTGGCGTGGCCAAGGCGGTGAACGACAGCAAAGCCGCGCGGCGTCAGCTGGAGGAGCTGCAACGTCACGATCGCGCGATGGAAGGTCGCGGACTTTATCTCGCTCCGTACAAATACGGACAGGAACTGTATCTCGTCCCGTACAAACGTGGACAAGGAGTGGCAATGATAAAAAAAAACGTCGAAAAGACGCTAAAAATGCCCACGGGTGTGACAACGAACATACAATTAGAACAATTGGCGAAACGTATGCGTATACCGTACTTTAGAGGGGTTTTCATGCGTGATTCGTTACCGATCGGTGGTATATATCGAAACGAGAGCGGCATCGTGAATTTGGATAGTACCAAAGGACCAGGTACTCATTGGGTAGCGTACGCAAAGAGGGGAAATCGCGCTATATATTTCGACGGTTTTGATAATCTTCGCATCTGCGGACAATTGTGTCTGCGGTTTCTCCAAACGGTCGACGGGTCGACGACTGAATTTAAAGCCTGACGATGCGCCATTAAGACTCAGTATTCGTTAAACATTTTTGCCGACATGTCTATGATATTCACGCATTCACGCTAGAGTAGCGTCCTCGCGGCACACTACCATCCAGCCATAGATTTGAGCGACGGTGATTACGAGCTCGGTCTAACGAATTTTGAGACTTATCATACGATGTCGAACGTGAATTCCTCGAATAATAAATTTTATTTCGATGAGGATGACACGGAAATTACGATTCCCGAGGGATCGTACGAGATACACGCAATACACGAGTTTTTGAAACGTGCAATTTCACAGAAACGTCCGCGACGCGTAGTTCGCTCCAGCAATCGTGTCGACAAACGCGATGATATCACGGTGATATTGCGAGAGGGGACCGTTCGAGCGAACGGTGACGAAGACGAAACTGTAGAATACCCGATAGTGCTCCGTGCTAATTACAATACGATGAATAGCGAGATCAAGTGCGCTTTCAGAGTAAACTTTAACAAACCCAACAACATTGGATCGCTGCTGGGATTCTCGTCGAAGC